GAAACACCATCTATGTAATAGCTTCTTTTCCAGCAGCCTTTGCGTAACCCCGACATCTATTTGGTAAATGAGAAGAAAAATATTTCACTGGCCTCTGGTATTTTGCTGGATTCTATTGAAAGTGGGGCAGACATGGCTGCTTTTGACAGATGCTTTGGAATGCCCAAACCCAGGATTTAGGTTGTCATTTGATGTTTGTGAGTTCAGCGCTTAGGAGACTCCTAGGCTCTCCCCAAGCAGGTCTGGTGGCGCAGTGGTTATGAGTTCGGCTCCTACCTGGAAGGTCAGCATTTCAAAACCACCCGCTGCTCCTCAGGAGAAAGACGGGGCTTTCTACTTCCATAAAGAGTTGCAGCCTCAGACACCTACGGGGGCAGTTCTACCCGGCCCTGTGGTGGTATTGTAAGTTGGCATCGATTGCAGGGCAGTGACTGAGTGAGATTTTCCCCAGAACTTTGGCTTCCTTTGAGCCAGTGACTAGGTTTTTCATTTCTGATTTAACCAAAGGGGAAACCTCAATGTTTGATATCAACATTTTTGTTATTATCCTGAGCGCAAACTGGAGAAAGAAGCGAATCTTTTGAGCTGCTACCGTATGCGAGTTGCTTCATAAATTTGTCGCTTATTCGGATAGAACTCTTCTGTTGACCTTGGTGTGAAAACAGCCCACAGGTAAAGCTGCCCAAATCGCATAGCTAGGAAGTGGCCCAGGTAGAATTTGTTGACGGATTCTCAACCCCTTGTTCTAGCCAGGGTGACTCGCAGGATTATGTGTCGGAGAAGCTGTGATGTAAACACGCTTACCAGTCTTGGTTAAAGACATGACTTAATGTGTTTCTGTTTGTTAACTGGGGTTTGCAGTTTGTTACTTCATATAGCTCTTCTCCCCTTTATTTGCCATCTTGGTTCTCAACTGCAGTGTTACTCATTGGGAGCTTTAAAACATGCCAGCACTCAGAAAGTGCCCTCAGGGAGTCTGCACTTATTGGCTGTTGTTAGCTCTTTATGAGTCTACCCCAGACTCACTATGGGCCCTCCATGCACGACAAGATTGACCTGTTGCAATCATAGGGTTTTCATTGGCTGGTTTTTGTTTTGTTTTTTTAATAAGTCACTAGGCCTTTCTTGGTGGTCTTAATTGGCCCAGAAGGCATAGTGAAGCCTGTTTCGCCTCTTAGCAGCATGCAAGCCTCCACTGACGGCTGGGTGGTGCCTATGCTTAAGGTACATTGGCTGAAAATGGTTTCCCGTGAACAAGGGGAGATTTGTCTTCAGCAACTGCTTTAGGACTGTAGTATGGGTTTTTTCTTTAAAAAAGCTTAACTCTCTGCCTTTGAGTTATAATTCTGACTTATAGCAAACATAGGCCAGAGTAGAACTGTCCGTATAGGTTTCCAAGACTGTAACTCTTTACAGGAGTAGGAAGACTGTCCTTTCACCCAGTGTAGCCTTTAAAAGTCCCCATTTGTTCTTGTTACTGCAGCCAGGTTTGAGATCTACTCATATTCTCACCTGTCTCGGGCCCTTCAGAGAAGTAGGACCAACAGGGGACACACAGTGATTTATTTTAAGGAATTGGCTCACATAACTGTGCGGGGTTGTAAATTCCAAATCTACCAGCAAGCCAGGCTGGAAAGAAACTATTCTGTGTTGTCATCTTGACAGAGGATGTACACTGGTACAGACAGGAACTGGAAACAGAGAATCCAGCATAGATGATCTCCTCAGGACCATTGCTGAGAGTGGTGATACCAGGAGGATGGAGGGAGGGTGGGGTGGAAAAGGGGAACCGATTGCAAGGATGTGCATGTAACCTCCTCCCTGGAGGATGGACAACAGAAAAGTGGGTGAAGGGAGATGTCGGACAGTGTAGGATATCACAAAGTAATTTATAAATTATCAAGGGTTCATGAGGGTGGGGGGAGCGGGGAATGAGGGGGGAAAATAAGGAGCTGATACCAAGGGTTCAAGTAGAAAGCAAATGTTTTGAGAATGTTGATGGCAACAAATGTACAAATGTGTTTGACATAATGGATGTATGTATGGATTGTGATAAGAGTTGTACGAGCCCCCAATAAAATGATTTAAAAAATACTATAAAGTATATTTTATCCCTTGTGTTTTTTTTTGTTGTTGTTCTTTAGGGCTTAGATTTTGAGGCCAAGCAGCAGTACACTCTCTTTGTGGCCGTGGAAAATGTGGACCCCTTTACAGTCACTCTTCCCACCTCGACAGCCACAGTGACTGTAAACGTGGTGGATGTGAACGAAGCTCCCATTTTCATGCCTCCTGTCAAGAAAGTGGAAGTGTCCGAAGACTTTACCGTGGGCCAGGAAATTACATCTTATACTGCCCAGGAACCAGACAAGTTTATGGAACAAAAGATATCGTAAGTGTAAAGGTTTTTCCGTGCATGTAGCGACTATATCCCTCTAGGGAAAAAAAATTGACAAGACACAAAGGAAAACGAACACCAGTTCTACAGTTTCTGTATACAATTCAGTGCTATTGATCACTTTCTTCCACCCGCCTCAGGTCCACAAAGTTCACAAGCCTCACATTGCAGACACTCCTCCCGCTCCTTCCGCTGCTGCTGCCTGTGAACAGAGTTCTGGTGCAACCATGCTCACTCCCCTCTCATTAGCAGGACGTGCTCCTCTCGTTAACATAAACTCACTGGCCCCTAAGAGCTTTAGCGTATCTTTTGAGTTATTGTTAATTTGATCCCATATAGATGGTATTTAAAAGTGCATACTGCTCAAGGTAGACCGTTCTTACGAGTTAGAGTAAACTATTGTTCCGTCTTAAGAAGACTTGAGGGGACCTATCCAAGAGCCTCTCAGGACATGGCTGAGAAGAGGCTGCCCTGATTGAAGAATTGTATTCTGAAAGTTCTTGAACCTGAATTGTAACCTGTTGCTTCCCTAATTCATGAACCTCATACTTTGAGGAGGGGGAGGAGTTCAATCACCCTCCATGTTCCAGAAAGTCCGCGAGAATTTGAAATGCTATTCTGCTGGACTCTTCAATGCAGTTTTTGATGAAAATGTACAGAAATGGCAGCTTTTGGTTGTTCCGGTCTTGTGGCAAAGGAGGCAATTGTTCATGGTAGCAATTAGCCACATGTTTCCTATCCTCTTCCCATTCCTGATTATCCTCCCTGTGTTGCTACAGATGAGTAGACTGCTTGTGCCTTGGACAACTGCTTTTAAGCATGTAAGCCCCCAGCACTATTCAGAGGTAGAACAGAAGTACTAAACATGTTATTGCGTAAATTTACTTGCTGTCCCATGAAACCATGACCCTAAACCTCTACACCAAGGAACCAAATCCCATGAGATGCTGGATTGTATATAAGCAACCTTAGCAGGTGTTCTCTTTTTTGCTCATGATTGTACATATATGTGTCACACAACTCTTGCCAATTCAACCATTAAAGGTATCCATCTTACAGCAATTAAAATAATCGCGTGTGCAACCCTGTCCTTAACCCTGTGATTTTTAAAACTCACTTTCTCTGCCATCGGGTCAGTGCCCTCTCATAACGACCCTATAGGGCAAGATAGAACTGCCCCTCTGAGTTTCTGAAACTGTCACTCTTTTGGGGGAGGAAAAAGCTGTGGTTTTCCCTCAAGGGTAGTTTCGAACTGCTGACTTTGAGGTTTGCAGCTCAACACACTTAACCACTGTGCCACCGGGACTCTTAGTTTTCCATCACTGGTCACCACCAATTACTTTAGTTTTCATTACATATGCCCTTTCCTGTGTTTCTGATGTACGGGAGGTCACCCAATGTTTGTCCTTTGAGGGTTGGCTCACTTCCCTCAGCATAATGTCCTCACACGCCATTCACACTGCGGCACGGCTGACAGCTTCATGTCATTGTACGTGTGTGTGCAGCACCTCCTGTTCACCCACTTGTCTCTTGGTGGCCATTGAGCTTGTTTTGACCTTTCAGCTGGCAGGAACAGTGCAGCCTGGGTATACAGGGCTCGTTGTGAGTCTTGGCTTTCAAGCCTGTCCTTTTTAAAAAATATACATAATATTTACCCCATAGCACTTTCTCATCATTAGCATGTTCAAGACCCTGCTATTGTGTGCTTTACTTCATTATTTATTTATTTTTAATTGGCCATTTTATTGGGGGGGTTCTTACAAACCTTGTAACAATCCAGCATTCAGTAGTTTTAAGCACACTTGTACATATGTTGTTACCAACATTTCCAAAACAATTTCTTCTACTCGAGCCTTTGGTATCAAAGGTATCAGCTTGTACATATGTTGTTACCAACATTTCCAAAACAATTTCTTCTACTCGAGCCTTTGGTATCAAAGGTATCAGCTCCTCTTTTTTCCCCCTCCCTCCCCCACTCTCCCTCTCAATGACACTTTTAAACTTTTTTTTTCTCTCCACCATACCATCTGCCAGTAATTCCAGCTATTTTAGGTTATTTCATCACATGAATCACTTTTAAACTTTTAAAATTGACCTCATTTTATTCTCTTAGCACATTTTTAAAAATCGTTTTATTAGGGGCTCATACAACTCTTATCACAATCCATACATACATCAATTGTGTAAAGCACATTTGTACATTCATTGCCCTCATCATTCTCAAAATATTTCCTCTCCACTTAAGCCTCCGGCATTAGGTCCTCATTTTTCCCCTCCCTCCTAGCTCGCCACTCCCTCATGAACCCTTGATAATTTATAAATTATTATTTTGTCATATCTTGCCCTGCCTGACGTCTCTTAGCACATTTTGTTCATCAGTTCCTTTTTAAAAAATTTTTTTCCAGTTGAATTAATATCTCTAATCTTCATTTTTGAGATGAGTTTTGACTTTTTCTTAATTTTACTTCCCGAGTTTCATTGACTCTCATGTCCTGCTTCACTTTCTTTGGGTCCGTTTCTTCCTTCCTTTCTTTTTAAAAATACTTTTATTGGGGCCTCTTACATCTCATCACAATCCATACATTCCTCCAATGTGTCAAGCATATTTGCACGTATGCCGCCATCATCATTTTCAAAGCATTCTCTTCCCACTTGAGCCCCTGATAACAGTTCCCCATTTGGTTTATTTCTTTCTTTCTTTTTAAATTTTATTTTTATCCTCTTTCTCCTGCCTTACGATATTTCCTTATCTCTCTAGTCATCCCTTCTGGATCTAATGTGCTTTCTTTCTTTGGGGTCTTTTGGTGAAGTAGAAATAGACTTTGTTTCAAAATTATATTATCTGTTAATTCCATTTCTTCACGAGCTTCTTGAAGCTGCCTTAAGATTTTGGTGTTATATATAGCTTAATGCTTCTCCTCTTTTCCAACTTCTGAGCAGCCACAATCACGTAAATCACAGCCACAGATACTGAAAATACACCCGGAGGTGAACCAACAGCCTGTCACCTTGCACAAAAAAGATGACGACTCTTCTTTGGAAGCTGGGTTTGAAGGCGCGTGTAGCACCCCTGGGTGGCGAATAGTACCCTCAAAGGAAAGAACCGTGTGGGCAGGACCACTGGAAGGCGGCACCTCTGTGTTCCGTCAGTCGTAGTGTGATTTCCAGAAGTAGGACAGGCCTTCCTCATGGCGTCTTCTCACCCTTCTGAGGAACACTGATTCCTGCCTGTTGGCATCGACTGTAGCACAAACCGTCAAAATGCTCGCAAGCGCGTCCAGTGAAAGGTGTGAATTTATAGTGAGAAAGCAAATTTGGCAAAACGTTGAGCAAGGCAAGCCTTTTGTAGGTTGGATGTTTTTCAGAATAGCACTGTGAAACCCGGTGTGTCCCTGAAGAGGAACCGTCCTGGCTGCGGTGCCTGTTCTCAGCCAGACTTCATGTCTTTCCAGGTATCGAATCTGGAGGGACTCTGCCAACTGGCTGGAGATTGATTCAGAGACGGGGGCCATTTCCACCCGGGCCGAGCTGGACAGAGAGGCCGAGGACCACGTGAAGAACAGCACATACACAGCTCTCATTATCGCGACCGATGATGGTAAGGCCTTGCTTGGGTCTTCGCTGCCTCCCTTTTCTCATTAGCTGGTCTCTCTGCTCCCTGCCATTCTTTGGACGCCTGAATTCCTCATTTCCCTTTGTTCTTTGTTAAACAAAAGACACACACCTGCATTCTCACCGTCAAATTCAAACAATTTGAGTCAAGCCGAAGTTCCTCTTAATTATCTCCCTTCCACATCTACACCTCATTCCTGCCCTGTGGGAGCCAGGTTACCTGGCTTCGTGGCCCACGTCCAAGTTAACCACTTTGGTGACTAGGACCTCATTGTTCAATATGTTATGGCCTTCGCTCCCTTTTATCCGACAAATGGGGGCAACAATATTATCTTACGTGGATTAAATGTGTCAGCCTGTGTTCAAGTGCCGGGAAGAGTATGTTCCACATCAGACGTGTCCGATAAGCGCTGTCTTTTTTATTATCATTATCATCGTGTCTCTCTGCTCCTTTCTTCTTAAAGCCTTCTTTGTGATTTAGGTGAAAGTTTACCCAAGCAAATTTGTTCTCCAGACAGACCGTTCCATGGGTGCCATCCCAGGAGGGTGGTGGCATGCTCCCCAGATACACCTTGTGTCCCCTTTTTCGCCCTTCAGTTCCCCTGCCCCTCCTTGCTTTTGTGCACATGTTACCAGGTTAGTCTCTTGTATGTCACTGTGCCCCCAGGCAGGGAGCCCTGGTGGTATAGTGGTTATGAGTTGGGCTGTGATCTGCATGGTCGGCAGTTCAAAACTACCAGCAGCTCTTCGGGAGGCAGACTTGGCTTGCTAGTCCCGTAAACATTACAGTCTCGGAAACCCACGGGGTCGCTATGAGTCATTGTTGACTCGGCAGTGAGTTTGGCTTTTGGTTTGGGTGTCCCATATGTTTTATTTTATATATGACTATATAGGTAACATACACAAGTAGACTTACGTACTCTTATGTGATTATTTCCACTAATACAAGCACGTACACCTGCCCCTGACAAACAGGTAAAACACATCTAACCTTTGATCACAACCGTAAATACTGTGGAAATAAAATGAGAACTGGCGGAGAGCCTCTTTAATCAGAACCAACCCAAACCCCACAAAACTCACTTCCATTGAGCCACTTCCGGCTCATAGTAACTCTTCTTGACAGACTGCCTTTCTTGGTATCTAGTTTGTAAATCTTTGCAGGAGCTGTCTGTCTGTCTCCCTTAGAGCAGCTGGTGGGTTTGAATCACCAATCTTGTGGTTCACAACACTTTCAACCCACTGAGCTTCCAGGGAGCCTCTTGGTGGAGTTAAAATGTAATGGATGAGTAAAAATCACAAGGAGGAAACGGAGGAGGGTGTTCTCAGTGTGAGGAATCATGAGAGACCTGCTCACCTAGGACAAAGATGCCCTAGGGATTAGGGGGGCAGCAAAATGGGGGGTGGGGGGGCTGTGGCCCGTTGATTGGCAACTGAAAAACTGGATTAAATTGGGCTTGCGTTGATGGAAAGCAGTGGTGATTCTTGAATGTTTCCCGAGCTGCGATATTCCTTCTGTAATTTCCTTTAGGTTCTCCCATCGCAACTGGCACAGGAACCCTTATCCTGATCCTCTCTGATGTGAATGACAATGGCCCCATACCAGACCCTCGCAAGATGGACTTTTGCCAGAGGGACCCACAGCCCCATACCATCAACATCATCGATCCCGATCTTCCACCCAACACTTCCCCATTCAGAGCAGAACTGACGCATGGGGCCAGTGTCAACTGGTCCATTGAATACACAGATGCAGGTAATTGATGGTGCCACAATTTTGGAAACTTTGCTTTGATTCCCATGATTTCTGTTTTCTTCATTCGGTTCGGAATTTCTCTTCTCCACTTTATTTTGTTTGATACTCTTTCCCTCTGCAGTTGAGCCATTCCACAAAGGCTGGCTCTTCCCTCCCGTCTCCCCTTTCTGATAACTGACTCTGTGACATACTCTTTAGCTATCTAATGCCTTTACACTTTACTCACCTTTGGAGCCTGTTTACTTTCGTAATGATCTTATTCGAGAATCCACGGTTCCAGCTCAGATTTTTGTTGCTTCTCCAGCCCAAGAATCTCTCATCTTGATGCCAAAGGGCCATTTAGAGCTGGGCGACTACAAAATCAACCTCAAGCTCACGGATAACCAGAACAAAGACCAGGTGACCACCTTGGATGTGCTGGTGTGCGACTGCAAAGGGGCTGTCAACAACTGTAAGAGGACTGTGGCGTTGGCCGAGGCAGGCCTGCCGGTCCCTGCTATCCTGGGGATTCTTGGAGGGATCCTCGCTTTCCTGAGTAAGTGTCGCTCTTGAACTTCAATGATTGGGCTTGGTTTGTTGGTTTGTTTTTGTGACTTAGGTGGGCGGTTTACATCTCAGCTCATTGTTGTGCATTCAACAACTGAAATGACCGATTAACCTGTTTCCGCCCTCTACTCTTCCCCCCAATCTCCTCCTTGTGGTCTGTCTTTCCAGTATCTGTCTCTGTCCCTATGACCTGATGTCTTCTCTCTCCATGGCCCACTCAGCCTCTTCACCTTTCCCCTGTCACATCAGCCACACTCCTGCCTCGAAGCTTTGCGTTACAATCTCCTCTGACTGGAAGACTTGCCTCAGATGCTGGGAAATGGTTGCAATTGGTTTAAGTTCCCGTTAAATGCCCATTCAAATTTATATAGAAGTGCCTACCGTGTTATACTGAGTGAGCCCCAATGTCACTACGGTTAAGGTGCTCAGCTGCCAGCTAACCAAGTGATTCGAACCCACCAGGTGCATTGTCCAGTCACTCGATGGTGGCGGGCCGTGTTGACTTGTGCACATGAGCTTTAGGGATGTGAGTCTTTTCATGTGGACTGACTCTCCTGGAAGTGCTTTCAAGAGAGTCGACAGTTCTCCAAGGAGGCGGTGGGGGCCGTGATAGCTTCTTCTGAGCTGCTTTCCCGTGGCTCGTCTTGCTCTCATGTACTCTCTCTCCTACCCAGTCCTGATTCTGCTGCTCCTGCTCTTTGTTCGGCGGAGAAGAGTGGTCAAGGAACCCTTACTGCCCCCAGAAGATGACACTCGGGACAATGTTTATTACTACGATGAAGAAGGAGGTGGAGAAGAGGACCAGGTGGGACACTGAAGAATGTCTCTATGTAGAATAAGTGATATCAAGACATCAGACATTTGAGATAACTCTGTGTCACTTAAGCACTGTGTCTTCAGGGTCTTACCCCCAAAAATAAACATCGTCACTGGCCATCACCATCAACATGACTACAGCTAAGATTGAGTGATCACTGACTGCGCTCCACTCAAATGAATGAGCGGGAGACAGCAGTTAAATAATCCATCCAGGGCCGTACAACTAGGAAACGGCAAACCTGCTTGTCTGACTCTAGAGCCTAAACTAAATCAAAGTATCTCTAACATAATTTTTTTTCCGCGAGTTCTTTGGCTGGGCCAAATGGTTTTACTCTTTAGGGGATGTTATATCTAGATCCTATTTATTTTCCCCTGATTTTAGAGATAATCTTAACTGGTCCTACCCTGGAGTTTTCCAAGGAACTTTTGAGGCTTCGAGAGCATTCCTTATGTGGAAAGGAAACCATGCGTCCTTTCCCCAGAGTCTTACATTTGTTAGCAAGGCTTGCTGTATACTAAGTCTGGTGAGTACAGAGAACTCTGAGATTTCATGAAGTTTCGAAGCCAAGACACCGTCACTACAATAAAACGATACTAGGGTTACCCAGAATCTCAGGAGCCCACAAAAGTAGCTTATTTTTCCTCATGCTTTTGTGGATTAGCTGGAGCTCAGCTGATCCAAACTAGATAGTTCTGACTTGATGCTAAACTACAAGCTGGGTCCAGGACTCTGGATGTAATTCTCATCTCTCTCTACTAGCAGGCTTATATAAAACACACTTCAAGTCTTTGCCTGTGTTGTGTTAGCTAGCACCCTATTGGACAAGGCACCTCATGTGGCCCAAGAGCAACGGGAACAGATATATACCTGTGTGCTTCCTCCACAATAAGACCAAAGCAAGTGACATGACAATTGGTTCATTGATGGAGATACATTCTTCCCACCGAGGCAAGAATTGGGAAAGGAGTGAATATTTCCTGAATGTTATTCTGCCACAAACACCCTATGAAAAGTTAATAACGCAGCACAACATACCATATATACTTGAGTATAGCTGACTTGAATATCAGCCGAGGCAACTAATCTTACCACAAAGACTGCATAGAAAATGTGCTGGAAAAACTTATACATGAGCATATATGGTATATCTGTCCCAAGAGGTGCTGTGGTGTTTGTTTCATATTCTTTGTTCTTCGTGCTACTGAGGCACGTCCAGTTCAAAGGAAACGTGCTGGCAAATAGCTTACAGTTAAGGCATCCAGTACCATGATCAGTACACCCAATCCTTTATGGTTATTCTAAATGCGACCGTTTCTTGAGACCACCTTTTAACCCTTGGGTGTCCTCTTCTCCCAAGGACTTTGACCTGAGCCAGCTGCACAGGGGCCTGGATGCTCGCCCTGAAGTGATCCGCAACGATGTGGCACCAACCCTCATGAGCGTCCCCCAGTACCGTCCCCGCCCTGCCAACCCGGATGAGATCGGAAACTTCATTGTCGAAGTAAGGGGGCAGGGCCAGCAGCGGTGTGTGTGCCTCCTTCCTGACCCGAGGGAAGGGCAGCTGTGTCAGAAAAGAGAGGAGTCTCTAGACTTGACCAGGCTTCACCTCAGCTGACCCCTACCGTCCCCTTCTTCTTCTTTTTAAATCTGTGTCCCAGCCTAATTTCAGAACAAATAGAGCCTTGAATTGCTCTCGATGACTTTGCAAAGTTCCTATGGTAAAAGTAGGAGTTGCTAGAAAGGATTTAGTGGAAATAGAAATCAAATTCAAGAGCTTCCAAGGAGGTCGGTTTGGGCTCCCTGCAGTCTGAGTCTGGGTGGAGAAGGCTTGTTAAGTGTGTGTCTTGGTTTGCTCAGAAGGCCAGACAAGGAGCATCCATGTTGTGTGTGTCAGAAACTTCCTCAGCTCTGCGGACCAGTGGTTCTAAATAAATAGGAATGGACTCGCCTCACGTAATCAGAAGGCCTAGAAAGAAAGGCCCCTGTATTCTGGCCACTGGGTCCTATGAGAAAATTGGGGTGGGAGGAGGGCTGGACAGGCACCTTCCACCATCTTCGTAGATGACACTTGGGTTCAGACCCTCCCCGCCACTCACAGTCACTGTCATGCTCATGTCATGCCGTGTGATCAAAGCCTTTTCTGTTGTTGTTGTTGCCTTTTTTCTAAGTGGAAATAATCCATAAAATGATGTTTTTAAATCAAAAAAGGAGAAAATAATCCATTAGTTGTTTTGGAAAGTACAAATTCTGAGTACAAAGAAAACTCACTGTTTTTAGCCTTCATCCTGATTTCTGGCAGAAGGGCCCCACCTTGACTCATGAACCGCCCATCCTAATTGGATGATGCCCATATCTAATTTACCATGTCGACTGGGGGTAGGGGTGGGGGTGGGGGAGCTCTCTGTATTTTCATTGAACTCTTATCAGGCCTGTGTTGTCGAAGCTGACCTTGTTAGCATGCATCGCTCCGTGCTGGTACACAGAAAGGCTCCATTGTTGTGTCCTGCGTGGCTCGTGAGCACACCGGAGATGACGCGTAGTGTGCGGCTCCTTTCCATTGAAAGCTCTTGTCCCCCTTCCTCTTTAGAACCTGAAGGCTGCCGATAGCGACCCCACGGCTCCCCCGTACGACTCTCTGCTGGTGTTCGACTATGAAGGAAGTGGTTCCGAAGCGGCCAGTCTGAGCTCCCTGAACTCCTCGGAGTCGGACCGAGACCAGGACTACGACTACTTGAACGAATGGGGCAATCGCTTCAAGAAGCTGGCCGACATGTACGGAGGCGGCGAGGATGACTAGGGGACTTACCGAGGAGGAGAGCGAGCCATCCCCACACCCCTGTGACGACAGAACACGCAGAAGGAACGTCCCTCTTGGTTTTCAGCTCCCTTCACTTGCGATGAGTTCTGGGCAAGAGAGACCGCAGTCGGTCTTGCGTTAGGATTGCTCTGATTTCTGCTTTGTTATTCGAACCTGTTTGTGTTAGAGAGGCTTTGACTTGTCTCCTGAATCCTTTTTCCTTTCAGCCCTCTCTACATAGTGAGAATGTCGAAAAAGACCCCTAAACTTTTTTACTCTTTCCAAAGAACCGCTGCAGCCTCCGGATGCTGTCCACCCCTCACGGATGGCCCCAGGGTCTCTGTCTCATTTTCAGAAGGAAGGAGGGGTTGATTGCCCTGTTTTTGTTGTTTGGTATACGTGATTTCTTCTTAATTTGTGGGTTGTTTCTCAACACTGCCCTGGTGTCCCATGTCCTAATACCCACGCTTCCTCCTCCTGAATTCCACTGCGCTGAGCCGGACGGGATTCTCTGAGCTGAGTTCAAGACCGCCAGAACTTTCCAGGTCACGGGCAGCGGGTCTTAACACTGGCTAGATCTCCACTGGGGACTACTGCATACGTTCAAGACCCTTGACCTATTTTTTATTTTGTATGTAACTTGAAACAGGCACCTACCTATCCATTGACTGGCTTTGAGTAGGAATGTGTGTGATGTGAATGTCATTGTGGGGCACACTGCTTCTCAGCAGGGTGCTTTGAGCAGTAACCATGGGGAGTCTTCAAGTGCCACTTAATTTTTAATGTGGAACAAAATCACTGGAACAAAATCAGTGACATGTTCAAGACTTAGAATAGTGCCTAAAGTGCTGTAGCCAAAATCGGAAGCCAGCGATGAAGAGCAGACTGGATGTGCAGAGTGAGAGGGTGAGGGCTTGAGGTGGGTGGAGGTGGGTTCAGTGTTGAACCTGGCAGTTGGGTAGACTGATGTTGTGGGTGGCCGAGAGGTGGGTCTACTCATATCTGTGAACATTCTTCCAGAATGGAAACATCTCAACATATTTCTTCCCAGGATGCTTATACTCTGTACCCGAAGCGCAGACTTCCCAAGTGCCTGCTTTTGGTCAGGTCTACAGAAAACGCTGGCTGATCTGGGTGCATTTGTCCCAAATTTGAAGTGTGTGTGTAGAAAATGGAGAATATTAGAAAACTCATATTCTTTCTTAGGAGCAGAAAGGGGTGGGGTGGGTGGGAACTTCCCTAAGGGAGGATGTTCAGCAAGAGGAAGTAGGGATGGGATGATGGGGGTCTTTTAAATTCTCCAAAGGAGAATTTTCAAGAAACTTTTGACAACCACATGAAAGAGCCCTTTAAATTGCTTTACTGTCTGTTGGCTGTTTTTTTTTTTTTTTTAAGGCAGGAAAAAATGTTATCTTTGCAATCACACCTCAGAATTGTCTTGATTTTTTGCATTTTCTCTAATGTAGTTTTTTTGTAGAGAATGTCCCCATACTTTTGTTTGAGTGTAAATGTTTGTGGGTGCTGATAATTTTGTATTATCTTTGGGAGTGGAGTAGGAACGCAACTCAAACTGAGATAATTCTTGAAGATGCATTTTTATAAATTTTATTAAATAAATTTGTTAAATCCTTGCTGAACTGTTTTATTTCATCACACCACAGGGAACTTGGTCAAAACCAGGAGAAAGACACTTCCTATGGAAACGACTTCTTCAGAACTCCCTGTCATTCTAGTGGAGGCACAGTGGAGACATGACATTCACAAGCCCATCCTTCCAGGTGGCCTGGGTGAAATCAATACAATCCCACCTCAATGGAGCATTACTCTGGGCTGAGCTGAGGGACAGACCATGTTCCAAGCAACATCCATTCAATTAGCAAAATTCATGGAGGTTGTGAGGGTCAATATAAGTCAGCGGTTTTCCACCAGAGAAGATTGTAATTCATTCCCACTCACTCAGGAGGTGTAAACAAATTTCTGGAGACACAGCTGGGGAGGAGTGTTGCTGTCAACTGTCATCTGATCAAGGCCAAGGGTGTTGCTAAACACCAACACACAAGATTGTCCCCATGGCAAAGATACATCCAGCCCCAAATATCAATGCTACCACTGTTGAGAAACTGGTAGACACCTGTAACTTCTTTCTGCTGGAGGCTGTCAAAGCACAATCTGACCAATAGCATCATTTGAAGTTTTATTAGGTTCAGATTCATGGGTAGGGGAGCATCATTCCTCTAAGAAAATGCCACCCCCAACCCCCCAACAAAGACAGGTTGGAAGTTTATATTGATAACAGGGAAAAGGGATAGGAATTTTGGACAGTACAATGTTTCCTTTATCCCCCTTATACCTTGAGATAGGAGCCCAGTGGCCTAGCAGGTTCACATTGGTTCAAAACCACCTGCCACTCAGAGGAAGAACAATGAGACTTTCTATTCCCGTAAGTAGGTCCACTCTCAGAAACCCACAGGGACATGCTACCCTGTGCTGCAGGCGCACTGTGCGTCAGAATTGGCACAATGGCAGTGATTTTATTTGAGTTATCTTGGGGCTGCAGCTGGCTATTTTTATCGAGTCAGGCAAAAGTCAAGTATGCAGAGCAGTAATTCAAACTTAGCAGGTGCCTATGGCCAGTTGAATGTCAACTTGGGATATCTTAGCTGTGTGCCAACAAAACCGTCCTCTTCAGGGATCCAGGAGTCTGCGTGTGTGAGGCCCCTGTGACGAATTTTCAGTCCAAGCCTAAGTTCCAAGTCCTTTCTTTGGGTTTAAGAACATTTTCATTAAAAATAGAAACAGAGTTGAATGGACTGTGATAGTTAGGTTTTTTGGTGCCAACATCATACCAGAAAGCAGATATGGGTGGAATCTAGTCTGCCAGTTACCCAGCCTGATGGTACCTCCTGGTGGGTGTGGCCTTCTCATAAGGAGGATCCTGGGAACTTCCTTTCTCTCTCTGCTTCACCGTTCTGTTGGCGAGCCAGGAGTTGAGACCTGGCAGAGCTTTGTGATACTACCATTGGATCCACAAGACTGCACCCACCAGCCTGTGATAGTCCATTGCATGTAGCTGCATGTGTCTGAAAAGGGATTTATGGACTAGTATAGGACGTAGGGACTTGGTTTGGACTGAGCTGGGATGTTTTCTTGATATCCAATTACTCCTTGATATAAAACTCTTATCCATAGATGAGTGTCAACGAATTTGTTTCTCTAGTCAACTGGGGCAAATACGTGGACGAAGGAAGGAAGAGAGAAAAAGACAAGATGCTAGAGGAGACCAACCATTTATAGAGCATCTGCTACATTCAAGTGGGCTGTCCCAGGAGGGAACCTTCTGCAAGTTTCAGCATGACTTCTGAAAAAGACTCAGATTGGACCCTGGAGACTGAGAAGTCTAGAGAACAATTCACCCCTTTCTGTCTCGAGAAGTGCTGCATTGGACTCTGCCTCGTTCAAATCCTGGCCCTGTCCTAGGTTTGAGCTTTGGCAAGATTCCATACATACCTATAAAATAAAGGAAAATGTGCCTACCTCAAAGGGTTGTTGTGGATACTAAATGAGTTTATTTATATGAAGCATTTGGAAGAATACTTGACCTAACTAATCCACTGTCATTGAGTTGATTCCGGCTCACTGTGATTCTATAGGATTTGATAGGACAGTAGAGCTCCCTAGGGTTTCTTAAGTTATACGTCTTTACGGGGATACAAACAGCCTCATCTTTCTCCCAAGGCATGACTGGTTCAAACTACTAACCTTGGGGTTAACAGCTCAACATTTAACCCACTATCATAGTGCTGTTAGATATTTTTATTATTAGTGTCGGGCATGAGCAACTTCAATCAAGGTTTTGGGTGTGGTTTTTTTTGTTTTTGTTTTTTTTATTTTTTGGGGTGTTTTTTTTTTCAATCAAGTTTTATGTAATCAAGCCAGCTGCCATCCAATTGATGCTGACGCATGGCAGGCATTTGCATTACCCACTAAGGCACTCCAATTCCTGGTAGTGCCTGTTATAACACAAGTGCTTCATAGATAGGTGTATGTTAAGTATTTGTGTTGTATCTTGAGGTTGGCTTTGAAGGCTGGCTGGCTAAGACTGATTAGGAAGATGTGAGGCACGAAAAAACAAGAAAACAATTGTGTGAGCATAGAAGCCCCTGTGTTGAGAAGAGGATACTGGCAAATGGATGGACCACTTATTTCTATATTGTACATGGGAGGCTGGCTCCACCTTGCTGCCATGTCCAGTACGGTAAGAGGACAGAAAATATTTCATTGTCTGTAGGTTTGATTCAAGGAGCCCTGGTGGTATAGCGGTTACCCATTGGGCTGCAGTCATTCTGGGCGACAGTTCGAAACCCCCAGCAGCTCTGAGGGAGAAAGACTGGGCTTTCTACTCCCATCAACAGTGACAGTGTCAGAAACTCACAGGGGGTTGTGTTTGATTTAGGAGCCGTGGTGGCACTGTCAGGCATCCTCGGGCTGCTACCTTGCAGCCTGCCGGTTCAAACCCACCAGTGGCTCTGTGGGAGAAAGAGAAGTTGGTCTGCCTCTGTAAAGATTGACAAGGCTTTGGAAACCTTACACAGGATTGCTGTCACTCTGAATCTTGTTGATGGCTGGTTGGTTGGTTGGTTTGCGGGAGGGGGGGTGGGGTTGCTCTTAGAAAACTTACTAGGGTTGTTGAGATTGACTCACCCCATGGCAGTGGGCTTGGTTTGGGGTCTTATGTTTGATTTATAAGGGAAATATTTAGACATAGTGCCACTTGTATTTTTGTCCCAGGCCTTAGAAAATCTCAGTGGTGAGTTTTTCCCACAGAAGGCTTTGCATTCATTTCACTAAATGTTTAAGGTTTCAAAATGACCTTGTGAGGGGAGGTAGGGATAACTTTTCCTGAAGGACTTGCTCCCACATGGAACTGCAGCATCGTCGCTAACCACACTGCTTGTGAGAGAGATAGGCAGTCCATAGGTTACATACAAATGAGGTCCTTCCTAGCTGTGTTTGTAGGTAAGTCAAACCAGGTGCATGAGCTTGGCCTTATTTTAGTGCAAGAAAAGGCTCAGCCTCCCTTCAGTGATTTAAAACCTGCAGAGGCAGCAGTTAAAGATGGGGGTGAATGGGTTGTAAGGAGGGTTTGGTTCATCCGTTCAAAGCAATAGCAAATTTACAAAACATGGAAGGGCGAGTAGGACTTTGCGTGTGCCTGAACCTGCAATGAAAAGTGTTTTTATTTTAATAAATCAATTCATTGGAGGCTATTACAACTCTTACAACAACCCATAGATCAATTGTATTGAGCACATTTGTACATAAGTTGCCATCATTTCCAAAAGATTTTCTTTCTACTTGAGCCGTTGGTATCAGGCTCCTCTTTTTTCTCCTCCTGAACCCCTGATAATTTATAAATTACTTTAATTTTCATATTTTACACCATCTGCTGTCTCCCTTCACCCACGTTTCTGTTGTTCATCCCCCGAAAAGTGTTCTAGTTAATGTTCTAGGTGGGTGATTTTCCTTTCAAAAATGTTTTTCAATTTTAAGATGTTTTGGCAGTATTTTACTTGTGAAAAGGGATGGTAGGGGAAAATATAGTGTGTTAATCTGGACTGACTAGAGAAACACATGCATAGACATTCATGTGTATAAGAAAAAGTTTTATATCAAAAAGTAATTGTATATTAAGAAAACATGCTGTCAGATATCCCAGCCCAGACCAAGTCCATATGTCCGATATTATTCCATATGTCCGATAGCAGTCTATGAATTCCTCTTCAGACTCATGCAACAGATTCAATGACGCTGAATGCAGGAAGATTACAGGTAAGTGAGTGGAAAGTCTTGTGGATCCAGTGGTGGTGGAAGCATCCCCGTACTGGCGTGGGGCTCCACGTGGCTCCTCCAGCTCCAGGGCTCTGGCTCCATGTGGCTTGTCAACAGGAATGTCTCTAGCAGGGAGAGTGTGTGTCCCGTCTCCAGGGAGGAAGATCCAGAATCCTCAGGAGAAGGTCATGCCCACACCAAGGCCTCATTGGCTGTGACATTGATTATGACAGGCTAGACTCACCCCTTCTCTCAAGTTGACAGAAGATTGTGTAACTGCCACATACAGATTATATACTATTATGTATCTCTTTTATAGCTGACATTGCTGAGTCCTTGAGAGCAATATGACTAACTCCCCTCCAAGAAACTAAAAAACTCATCGAGTAGATGCCGATTCAGAGCCGCCCACATGTAGGGCAGGGTGAAATTGCCCAAGTAGGTTGCCAAGATTGTAACTCTTCACGGGAGTAGAAAGCCCGTCTGTCTCCCTCCTTACAAAAATAGCTTGCATGAAAAGGGTGTTTACTGAAGGCCATTATCCCGATTAGTTCTGGGTTCAGCACCGGAGGCTACCCAGCTGGCTTTGATGACTTGGTCAGCTGCCATCCCTCAAGTCTCTAATAACGGACTCCTTGTTGGCTGACTTCCAGCCAGTGGCACACACTACGTGGCACTCATTCTACAGACTTCTGTGTGAGAGTCTGGACAAACATGGCTCTCTGCAGAGAGGCAGCAGCCACCTTAGATCAGCGGTTCTCAACCTGTGGGTTGCAACCCCTTTGGGGGTCGAATGACCCTTTCACAGCGGTCTCCTAAGACCACTGGAAAACCCATATTTCCGATGGTCTTAGGAACCAAGACACCGCTCCTCTATCCGTCTCCAGGCGGGTCCGCCCACATGCAGACATGTCCACATAGGAGTAGTCAACGTGAAGACTGCTACCCATACTACACCATGCTTTAAGACAACATTTCATTGACTTGTCATTAGAAATAAATATTTCACAATCTATGACATGGTTTTTGTGATGAAACACTATGCTTTCATGATGTTCCATTTGTAACAATGACAATACATTCTGCATATCATATATTGACATGACGATACATACCAATAGCAAAATGACAGTTATGAAGTAGCAATGAAAATAATGTTATGGTTGGGGGTCACCACCACAAGAGGAACTGTCTTAAAGGGTCGCGGCATGAAGAAGGTTGAGGACCACTGCTGTAGGTCGTAGTGGAACTGCCCCCTCGGGGTTCCAAGGGATACATCTGGACAGAAGCTGACTGCCAGCCACATCGTCCTCTTGCAGGGCTGTGGGGGAGCTCCACACCACCACCCTTTTTGCTTGCAGGCGGGTGCTTATCTTGCCTCACCAGGACCCTCTCTCCAGGTACTCAAATGAAAGGCATGAAACCCACTACATCCAGTGGATTCCGACTCAGCGACCCTATGCGAACTCCACAGGGTTTTGAGACTGCATTTCTGTGAAAGCAGACCGCATCACTGTTCTCCTGCAGACCTACTGGTAGGTTTGAACTCCCGGGCTTTCATTTCCCGGGCACCGCTTAACCCACTGTGTCATCGGGGCTCCTTCAGGTGCCAGAACCCTGGAATTCTCTGCCCAGTGTGACTCAGTGCCCTCCACCAAGGGCCCCTGGCTCCTCCCTGTGGGGCGTGTGTACACGCCTATGCTGAGAGGGGCCAGGTGGTTGCTGCTTGGGGCTGTGTGGAGATCTTGGCCTTGCAGGGGACCCTCCTGATGCCGAGAGAATTAGAGGTCCAAGCTTGCAGGTGGAACACATTTTGTTTCCCAAGACTTCCAGCAGCATGAACTTGGTATGACAAGGACTTAAGAGCAGTCAGTGGTAGGATTCATGTGATTATTCCAATTAATAATTAAATCACACTGCAGTCCTCTGAGGAAATGGAGGTTCACAGCAGGTGGGCTCGAGATAAACTAATCGGATTGGTGTCTCCACTCTTGGGAGAGTGCAGGAAGCTGTGTTCAACATTCCCGCAGACACCTCAAGGAACTGGGGACCTTAGTGCTGGGCTCTGGCAGTGAATTTAAAGTCCAGAAGGAGGGGTTTACACCGATCTAATGACCATTTTAACTATTACAAAAAGATACACTGAAATGTAGTCTATTTCATGCAGTTAATACTTAAATCAGAACAATAAAAGAGGTACACAAAACCAGATCATGTTATAAAGGAGTCCTAAAATGTTAATGAAAAAATAATAACTGGAGAAAACAATTAGACACTAATTTAAAATATGCCCACATTGCTTCTTCTTTTTTTCCTTTCACATTGCTTCCTGATTGGTGTTCTCACTTGTAATATTCTTGGCTTTTATCCAAGCATCATTGGCTGTGTGATTTATTCTTAACCATCTTTTCACTGTAAGAGTAGCATTTCACTCCTTCAGAGATAGCCCAATTAAGTAATAGTTATATTAGAAACAGGTTTGATGTATGGATTGTTATAAGAGCTGTAAGAGCCCCCAATAAAATGATTTATTAAAAAGAAAAAGAAACAGGCAACTTCTTTTCTCTAAACATATGATGTTCATCTTTGAAAACCCCCTTTCCAATTCTGCTGAACTTACAGCAATTGTTCTGACACGATTTTTAGCTCTTTGAACACTTCCAGCAATTGTGTAATTCACTCGTACTATCTCAAGGCTGTAATAGTTGGGTTGTAACACAAAACTGAAATGAGTGACAGCGTGTCACCCTCTGGTTGTTTGGCACCTTTTCTCTTTATGTTTTATGTTTGTTTACTTAAGTAACATGCAAGGGAATAAAAATGTAGTTAGTATTTCATCAAAAGTATACGAGTTTTATGAAATGAAATAAGTATTACAAGCACCGTTCCATTTAATTTTTTTATACCTATGGACAGAATGGACATTACTACCGGTGCTTAGAATACGCTGTTGTGAAAATGAACGTTAAAAGAGTAAGAAATGTGAATTTGTGATTTCCACCTGGGGCCGCCGCCCAGCCGCAGGGAGAGAACCCTGATTATAAGTGCCATTTTAGCAACCGGTTCGCCGAACTCAACAACCAAATACCAGGTATTAATTTTCCACTGAGTGCCACCACTACCTGAGAGCGTAGTGGACATCTCGGGAAGGAAGGCCAGGCATGCCGAAGGACTAGTCCTCAGAAACACTCGTGTTTGCAACGTATCTTGTCAGACAACTTACGGTTTGAACCCCTCAAATATTTGTAGCAATTACATTCACAATGGAGACCTGCTTGTATATAGAAAGATACATTTTATCTCACCATGCCGCTTATAAAGAAAGGTCGACCAGGCTTGGTTGGCCACCGTTCTGCCTATTCAAATGTATTCATTTAAAGTAGACGCAAACATCCGCCCCTCTTGAGAAAACCCGTATACTTTTATGATAAATAGCCGCTTTCTTCCTCTTTGCAGAGGAGTTGATGATCATCTTGCGTTTCTGAATGGTGCGTAAAGGTAGAATGTGCTAGCTATGGTTTAAAACTTTCCAGGGGAGGTGAGTGGGCGGAGTAACGCGTGAAAAGGGGGCGTTGCCCGCC